TGGTGCGGACTCCCAAGGCGCCCGCACCCCCGGGGAGGGCTCTGTGGGCAGCGGCACCGTGAGGTAGGACACGGTGCTGTAGGGGAAAGAGGGCACGCTGCTGCCTCCGTCGGCCTCCGCGAACTCCTCTGCAAGCGGAGAGCGGTGTCACTGGCTGCAGGTCTGGGTCCTGGCCCCGCAGCCCTTAGGGACTTGATGGCCAGGAACTGACCCAGTGATCCCTCCAACATCAAGATCCCCAAGTGCCAGGAATCTTTGTTCTCCTTGCCCTGGGCAGGACCCCCACCCCAGGGGCGAGCCGTCCACCTTTCCGGAAATGGCCCCGCTCACCCCCAGGTGAAATCCTGTCCCTACCCCAGCCCGGGGAACGGCTCACCCATTGCCCTGGGTTATGTTCCCCTTTGGCCAGAGCCTCTCCTCCCTCCTGGCTACAAGCACCCCCCCCCCGCCACCTCTTACCCATCTCATTGAGGCTGGCGAAGCCGGGGGCGATGGGGGTGTGTTTCGGGGATTTGCCTAGGTTGGGGGCACTTGAGGACCACTGTTTGCTTCCTTCCCCCAGGGCCTTGAGCCTGCAGGGAGCACAGGGAGATGATCAGCCCTGTGGCTGCCCTGGGGGCTGGCGGGCACAGGGGGCAGGTGGGCACCACCCCAGTACCTCTCTTCTCCTCCAGCCCGCTCCTTCTGCAGGGTGGAGCTGGGCCCCCAAGTCCGGCCCTTCTTCTTGCCCCCAACCAGTTCTTCCTTCTTTGGGGGCCCACTGCGGCCCCAGGTCCCACTGCCACCACTGCTGCCGCCACTGCTACTGCCACCACCACAGTCCACAGGAGTCACTGAGTTGAGAGAAGCCACTTGGTTACTGGGTAGTGGCTGGATTAGCTTCCAGCCTCCAAATCTCGTCTGAGACACCCTCTCCCTACTCCAGTCATGACCTATCCCTCCACAGCTTCGGCTGCTCTCTGGACACAGCGCCAGCACCTGGCATTCATGGCCCTCTGTACACCCTTCCTGGCTGACTCACAGCCAGCTCACAACCTAAGTCTTCAGTGTTTCTTTCCACTTCCCAGCCCTCGTGATTAGTTCCCTAAGGACTCTGTTGTCCTCTGTTCCCACCACACTCGGGATGTACCCTGGTACTGTACTGGTGTTGGCTAAAACTGTATGGTTATTTGTCCTGTGTCCCCTGCTAGTGTGACAGCTGGGGGTAATGCTGGGTACATGATAGGGGGGACAGACTCAGGAGTCAGCTGTGTGCCCTAAAACACAAGCACACTCCAGCAGCTGCTTCTATACCACGTGGCCCCATCTGTGACCAACTCTGTCTTCCAAGCCCCCCATCTCCCTGGGCTGCCCTGCCTTTTTTCTTCACAGCAGCCAGAGGGAAAAGGAAAATCTGATCATAGCACTGCCTGGCTCATAGCCCCATAGGGCCTTCCTGATGGTGTTTAAAATAAAAACCATTAGCCAGGCGTGGTGGCACACACCTGTAATCCCAATACTTGGGAGGCTGAGGCAGGAGGATCACTGTGAGTTCGAGACCAGCCTGGGCTACATAGCGAGTTCCAGGTCAGTCTCAACTACATAGTGAGACCCCATCTCAAAAAACCACCACCAACAACAACAACAACAACAAAACCCAACAAAAAACCCCAAAACATACAAACAAAAAACCCCCCACCTAAATAAAATAAAAACCATTAACACTGGAGTGGCAGGGAGTAAAGAAGGATTGCCCCCGCTGGACATGGTAGACATGGTGAGGCCAGAGGATACTAAATTTGGTCCCAGCTGGGGCAATTTAGAAAATAAAAGGGCTGGGCATAGTGGTGCATGCCTATAACCCCAGTACTTCGGAGGATGAGGCAGGAAGATCACTGTGAGTCTGTCAGCCTGGGCTACAGAGTGAATTCAAGGCCAGCGCAGACTACATAGCATGCCTCAAAAACTAAATTTAAAAAATAAAAAAAAAATTGGGCCAGGGATTTAGTGGCACCACACCTGCCTTGCAAGTGCAAGGTCCTGAGTTCGAGACCTAGCACCAAAAATAAATAAATACATAAATATTTTAAAGGGCGAGGTGCAGGTCAGAGCAAAGGCATCAGGTTCAATAGCAGGAGTATCAAAAGGAGGAGGAAGAGGACGATGACCACCAATCCCTTCAGGGTCCGGACAGAACAAAGAGGTGGAAGATGCGAGCTTGCTCTCCACTTGAGTGGGGCCCTCTGTCTTCTGCCCGTGCACATCAGAGCAGCTGGGTCTCAAGCCTTGGGACTTGGATTAAAGTACAGCAGCTTTCCCTCCAGCTTGCAGATGGCAGCCTCTGTAGTAGGTGAGCCAAGCCCTCATAATAACTCTCTTTGCATATATCTATATATATCGTATCGATTCCATTCTCCAGAGAACCCTGATATATCTCTCTTTCTCTTTTTTTGTGGTGTTGAGGATTGAACCCAGGGCCTCCTGCATACGAAGTGAGGGCTCTATCACCGAACTACACCCTTTACCCCACTCCAACATCTCCCTTTGTCTTTCATTTTTTTTCCCCAGTGCTGGGGACTGAACCCAGGGCCTCATGCATGCTAGACATGGACTCTACCGCTCCAGTCTTTTATTCCTTGCCTGATCACTACCGGAAGTTAGCCTGCCTATTAACCTGTTTGTTATGTTTCCCTATCTGGCTTCGCCTGTCTCATTCCCATTATTCCTCCGCCAGTATGTTTTCAGATGTTTGCTGACTGGCTGACTGACAAAGGCCACGGAGATACTCACAGCGGATGGCCCGCAGCCTCGGGATGATGCTGGGGCTGGCAGGGGGGCTGGCGCCATCGGATCCTTTCCGCTTGTCTAGGGTTGGAGAGGCCTGCACTGTGATCTTATGCTCAAAGCCTGCAAAAAGGAAGAGACTTTCCTGAGCAAATGGCTTCATGGTCCATGGTGACCAGAGGAAAGTTTCCATTGTAGGCGTAAAGGAAGGAGGACAGTATGGGAGTGGCACATTCGTCGTTCCTTAATGCAGTGGTTCTCAAAGTGTGGTCTCCAGCCTGGTAGCATCAACACCAGCTGGCAGAAACACATCTGCGTGCCTGTGATCCCAGCACTCTGGGAGGCTGAGGCAGGAAGATCATAAATTCAAGCCAGCCTGAGAAATTTAGCAACTTAGTGAAAAACTATCTCAAGATAAAACAATAGAAAAAAGGGGGCTATGTATGTAGCTCAGAGTAAAGGCCCTAGGTTCAACCCCCAAGGCCAAAAACCAAAAACCAAAACCCACCAAATTCCTGGGTCCTCCCTGGGTGTAAGGATTGCATATAACTGCTGAGTATGGGTCTGTCTGGGGCCATTAGCTGCATATGGCAGTAGAACAATGGTGAGTGGGTGGTACAACTGAGGAACTGGAGTTTAACTTTTACTTAATTCTAAGTAAGGTAAGCTTAAGTTAAAACGGATACTTCATCTGGTTATTAGAGACATGTAAGCATATTTGAAAAGCTTGGGTATGCAATTTACTTTTTCTAATTCTCAATTTTAAGATAAAATTTTTTTTTCCAGTGCTGTAACACCAGGGCCTTCTGCATGCTCTACTACTGAGCTACACCCTCAGTGTGCTCTTTTCTTTTCTCCCCCATCTCCGCCCACCCCCTGTGGAACTATGGATCAAATACAGGGAACCCTTGGCCCTCTTTTTTTTGTTTTTTTTTGAGACAGGGTCTCACTATGTAGTTGAGACTGACCTGGAACTCACTGTGTAGCCCAGGTTGGTCTCGAACTCACAGCGATCCTCCTGCCTCAGCCTCCCAAGTGCTGGGATTACAGGCGTGCTCCACCACACCCAGCTGCAGCCCTCTTCTTTTGAGACAGGGTCTCACTAAATTTTGCAGGCTGGCAGTGAACTTGCAACCCCACGGCCTTAACTTCCTGAGTAGCAGCTAGAATAACAGGCATGTACCACCATGCCCGGATATATAAAACATTTTTGATAACATTTTACATGCAGAATGAGATGTGCTGTAAATACTGGATTTCAAAGATTTTGTGTAAAGGCCCTAAAAATTGAGAAGGTAAAATACTTTGTTAACAATGTTTTGGTATAGACCGCATGGCCACACTGGGCTATATAATACATGTTTAAGCTACTGTCACCTGTTTGTTTTTACTTTCCTAGTGTGACTCCTGCAAAGTTTAAGATGATACAGGTGGTTCTACTTCCATTGGCCGGTGCTGCTGGAGGCCTGACTCTATGGGCTGTAACATCACAAAGAGAGGCTCATGGATGAACACACATCACCTGGGAAGTAGTCGTTACAAAAAACAAACAGCAAACCTGAACTTGAGCCTGGATCTGATGAGGTCTTGAGGTCCACCACTCAGGTAGCCCCCATCAAACTTCTGTAAAAATGGCTGCATATCCGCAATTTCACCTGGCCTAACCTTACAGTATTTCATAGGGAATTTAGGGGACAGGAGGACATGTCAAAAAATATGGGGGAGGCAGCGCAGGCAGCAAGCTCTTGACTGGGAAATCCCACAGAACAACTGATGAAGGTCCTTGACAAAATTACTGGCAAGAAAAGATTAAAGGATGTTTTGAAAAAACAACTGGGAAATATATCTGTACATAAAGTAGAAATGACTGCCTTAAAAGTGAAGCCTGAGGTTACTCTGGTGGAAAGGGCAGGAGGCTGTGCTGGGACCGGCATGTGGAAAGCACTTGGATTGGCTGTCAGGGTCTTTGCTCTCACGGGGGACTGATCAGAGTACCTCAGTCATACAGTTGTGGGGTTTTTTTTGGGATCTTTTTCAGTATATCCAGCAATAAAATAATTTAAAAGGTGGCTGCGGGTGTGGCTCAGGGGTACAATGCTTGCCCAGCATGTGCAGTGAGTGTCCCCAACATCATGGACATACTCCACATGTTAAAAAGAAAATAAAGAGCGTCTTGGGGATGCTCAGGGGACAGAGGTGGTACCCGAGGGCAGGCTGATGTGGCTGCCGCCTTCCCGCAGCTTGAGCAGGCGGCTGCGCTTGAAGTTGCCCTTGCGCTTGCGGACCCGGGGCTTCTCCTGGCTCAGCTGGCACATGAGCAGGTGCAGCTCACGTTCCACGATGTCCATCTCGCGCTCAGCCAGCTCCTGCTCCCGCCGCCGCAGCTGCTCCTCCTGGAAACGCTGCTCCTGCGCGGCACGCAGCAGCTCCTCCTCCCGGCTGCGGAGCTCCTGGGGAAGGGGAGGCCAGGGCAGGCTTAGCAAAGCCCCAGGATGCGCCGGGGCTGGGGGACCTCCTAGGTAAGTGCACAAGGACATCTTGCTATGGGACACAGTGGGCTCAAATTCTACTAGCCAAGCTGGGTGCCAGGGCAAGGGCCTGCATGAGGCCAAAACTGGGGTTCCTTTCTCTTCCCCCCTTTTTTTGAGGCAGGGTTCCCTAAATTGCTCAGTTCTCCTCGGAACCCCAAGTACTGGGATTACAAGTGTGGACTCCCAATGCCTGGCTTCTCTTCATTTTTTGCTGTCATAGTTAAAGCCAATCCCAGACATCATGCAGTTTCACCTGTAAATACTTCAGTGCAAGGGGCTTTTTTCTTATTATTCCACAAAAAGGCTTTTTTTGGGCGGGGGGGGGTTGCTATGCAGTTCAGGCTGGCCTTAAACTCACTTTGTAGCCCATGCTGCCTCAACCTCCCAGTGATCCTCGGAGTCTGGTGCTTGCAGGTGTGCACCAACACACCAGGGCACCACCACACCTGGCCGGCTGTGTTTTCTTAATATGCAAAGAGACCCTGCATGGATCCAAAGGCTGTGGTTCAGGGGAAGTGAGGGCAAACTGCCCAGGGTATCAGAATTCGAGGATCCTGCTCCATCCTCCCACTTTGTCCCTCCTTTACCTTCTCCTTGGTCCGAAGGTCGTCGAACATGTGTTGAATCTCCAGCTTCCAGTCTTCCTGCAGCGAGTGGAAGGACTCCAGCGGCATCTGGAACAGGGCTGACTGTTCGATGACTTCAAGCCGTTTCAGGATGCTGCTGAAATCTGGTCGCCCGTGCGGTTCAGGGTCCCAGCACTCTGGGGGGAGGGGAGTGGGTGAGGAGGTGTCCAGGGCTGTGCTCTGGGGAAATCGCATGCTCAGAGGAAGGCAGGGTTCTGGGGATTGTGGGCCAACATCTTCCAGGGAGCCAAAGGGAAGGAATTCAAAATCAAATTTTTGGCAACATTTTACTCGGTGAAATGCTGAGAGGTCCAGGGACCTGCTCCCATGGTGGGGCTGATGGTGGAATCAAGGGTCCGGCAGGAATCCCAAGGCCAGGGAATCCTAACAGGATGCCCTCAGTTACTTAGGGCCTGGCCAGAACATGGGCACAGGACTGTGGGCACCTGTGAGGGGGTCTGTACACGCTCCATGGGGTTCCAGTGCCTTCTCCCTCACCCCCGGCCCACTGGTACGGATGGGTGTGAAGGGGGAGGACTGGGCCCCAGGGCCCCTGCCACCCAAAGCCGAGCCTACCCTTTCCACAGGGCCCCGGCTCACCCTCCAGTAGGCGGGCAAAGGGCTCGGGGCACGTGGAGGGGATGGGCAGCGTCAGCTTGTTCATAGCCACACCATACGCCACAGCCAAGGCGTCGATTTCACGGTAGGGGACCTCACCCGTCAGCAGCTCCCACAGTAGCACCCCGAAGCTGCAGGTGGGGGAGAGGCAGGGATGATGCTGCAGCCCCCTCTCCTGTCCTCACCTGCATCCCAGCCCTGCCACTGGTCCCATGTCACCAGCCCATCCGTTAGGGCCCAAGAGGCTGACTAACCTCCCTCCTCGGCCTGGTCCTCAGACGGGGTGGGCTCTGATGTCTCCACTTTGCTCTGCCCCTCTTCTTTAGCCCCTGCCTGAAAACCTCCAATAGGACCCCCAAGCCTGCTGGGCATGTCCACCCTTCTCAGCCCTGACCTTGGATGACCCCTACAGCCTGGCCTCCAAACACTCTCAGCCCTAAACCAACCCTAACTTCATCTTCCGACACGCTGAACAGTTCGGTAAGTCCTGTTCTTCCTGCCTGTGACCTTTGCACATGCTATTTCCTAGATCAAGAATACTATCTTTGGACTGGGGATGTAGCTCAGCTGTACCGCACTTGCCTGGCAAGTGCAAGGTCCTGAGTTCAATTCCTGGTACCAAAAAAAAAAAAAAAAAAAAAAAAAAACCC